TTTGCTCGTTAGAAAGTTCAATTTCGGTCTCGTTTACGCGGTTAAACCACCTTAACGCTTCATAATAAAAATATTTTGTCTCGGAGCAATCCAGAAAAGTATGCTCAATTGAATCTGAATTAGGGCAAAAGGTACAAGTTGAATCATCAGTTAATCGAAATTTGTGCAGTTCTTTTTTGGTTACTATAATTCTATGCAATAATCTAAATGAAAACTGTCTTAACTTGTTGTCTCTCGTTGATTGATATACAAAAGAAAATTTGTTTTTCCATTCTTTATGAGTATCGGCAAAATTGACTTTCCAGGTTTTGATGCCAGTTGGTTCTACTGTGGGGCTTTTGTTAAGTATTTTATAGTAGTGTTTGCAGCGCATGTGTGCCAAATCTACGAGATTGCTTCCAGGAAACAAAGATATCGTAGTAGTGTTCAGTAGCTCGTGCAAGGGAGCTTCACATTCCCTGGCTTTTTTCTTCAAGTCAGTTGGAATAGCTGCTATGAGTTGGAAGTAGTGGAGATAATTTGTTTTTATGTTGAACTTATTTTGAAATTGTTGGAATGTAAGAAAGTTCCATCAGCATTTAGGATATCTTGTATAGAGAGGATGTTCTTCTTAAACCAAGATTTCCAGAAAAGCGTATTTTTATCAATAGTTATTTCCTCGTTATTCCATAGCAGGAATTTGCCATACGAAAATATTTTCGTCTTATCTTTAAACTCTTGAAAATATTGTAAAAGCTCCCTATAGAAAGTAGGTAAACCATTATTTATGGAGGCGGCATTATAGTTGCATTTAAGAAGGAATTTTAATCCTCCATAAGTATTGAAATAATAATTTGGAATTGCTTTCCACGAGTCGGTGCTGCTGCTTAATAACCGACTTATCCACGCTAAGCGCAACGATTTTACTACTACAGAAAAGTTTACGAAATCGAGACCTTCTTCCACAAGAGGTTGGTACATGACCGTTCTTCTTATTTTGTCTTTTTTGTTTTTCCACAAGAATGAAAAGAGCTCTGTTTGAACATTTTTTATTATTAAAGGTGGAACAGTCAGCATGGATGCTGCATAGACTAACTGAGGTACTCCTAACGTTTTAGCTAATAATGATCTTCCGTATAGCGTCAAATCCCTGGAAAGCCATAGATTTAATTTGGTTTTCATCTTTCGAATCCTGTTAAGAAAGTTCTCTTCGATGTTTTTATTTTGATTGTACGATAGAAACGTGCCTAGAACTTTAATAGGGTTCTTTGTGCTTTTGAATTCTAATATGATCGAGTTACTATGTTTCATTGTACCCAGCCACATTGCTTTAGTCTTTTTCTTATTTAACTTTAAGCCTGAGACGGTGCCGAATACTTCAATTGTTTGGAGATGCGATTTAAGAGAGTCCGTGTTGTTAGTTATTATGGTTGTATCGTCTGCAAATTGAGCAATTTTTACTTCTTGGTTGTTCGGTAAATATATGGCCTCGCATATATTTAATCGTTACGATGGCCAATTTACCATTTCAACTTTGTTGATATATCCAAATTTAATCATTAATTTGTCAGTGTAAGTTTTTTGTGTTTTAAACAAAGTTACAATTATGGCTTCTCCGAAATCATGTCTTTATCAAAAACTTTGCTGAGTCCTTACAACCATATTTTCTCAGAGTCCACCATTGTCAGACCATACAAGGCATTCACCGAGCCGCCGGATAAACTACGAAAAGAATTAAATTTAAAAAGGCAAACTGGGGCTTGGGAAAAACGTAGAGTCAGGGAAATGCAGCACAACGGAAAAGAGATGGTCGAATCATGTCATTATCTTTGCTTGGGACTCTCATTACTACAGCTGCTACCAATTTTAGGTTGGTACTATCAAAAGTCAATGAGAACTTACTGGTCCTCTAATTTCTGGCGTTTTTCAACAAAGTCGCATGGTGAATCTGTTCTACAGCTGTGTAAAAAGAAAAGAAGTTTTCCTCACCTTTACACAAAAGAAGAAAAATGAACAACACAAACGTCTTGAAAAACAAATCCATGGTCATCAATAAGTTGATCGCTTCTGCACTGCATAAGTTTTTCTTCAAATCCTTTCAAAGGTATGATTATGATGTAATATAGAATGTTTTGCGCGAGCAACAGCACAAATTGCTCAGCTTCAGATTTTTGCGTAATTCGGGATGAATCAGCACGAATACTGATCTATTCCAGCGATAAAAAAAGTTATGTGCTTACTAGTATGACCTTCACACATTAGAAGAAAAATGAATAACCCAAATGTTGTGAAAAGCAGATCCGTCATCATCAAAAAGTTGATTGCTTCTGCGTTGCACGACTTTTTTTAAAAATCCTTCCAAAGATTTGATTGTGATACAATGTAGACTGATATTTTGTTCGCGTGCAAAAGCACCCAACATAATCTTAATTTACGTATGATGCACGATCCTTCGCAGTAGATAGCGCTATTAACGTGAAAATCGCTGTGCTCTAGAACAGTNGTGATGGTTATGCTGAGTGCCGTGAGAAAGACATACAGCTGCACTTGGTAATGATTTTGCAACTGTATTCTCAAGAAATCCGTCTGCAAAAGTATGACTAATTTGCCCTCTACCTTCACCTATTTTCGATGTTTTGTTCCTAATTTTGCTTTGATTTTCATTAAGAAATACATTGAAGTAGCTTAAATTGCAACTCCACAATTGTTTCTTGTTGTCTTGTTAGGGTATGACAAAAGTGCTGTAAAAGTAACAGGTGGGCTAGCATGTTTTTATCGTGAGTTGCTCGATGAGCAAGCAGGATTTGTTTAAACAAAGTAGGTTTTCTTAGTATTTGTGGGAAGGCAAAATCAGTTATCTGTTCAATGGGCAAGGGATTCGGTAGAGATTATTTCATCTTTTTGCCTGCATAATCAAGCAAACTCAGGTTCTGGCATAGTACATGCATAGGTATGTGTTGCATAGGTATGCATAGGTATGTGTTGCATAGGTATGCATAGGTATGTGTTGCTTTCACAAAGTATTTGTATTGGTAATTACATGATTTCGAGTGCAATTTGGAATAAATAAGCACGAGTAACTTTTTTCAAAGACTAACAAACTTGCATGGGCCCGCAGGGCGAGTGCAATTTGTGGTCTTTGAAACTACTATCCTCTCACTGCAAATTGTTCGCAATGTAATTATTTAGTGCATGTCATTGAAAGGATTCCATTTCTGAAATCAAAATATCAAAATATCTTTGTTATATTTAGTAGGATGTTAATATTATAAATTGATTGACAATTTAACATTTAACAGAAACTTGATTGCAATTAATAAATAACTTTTCAGGCTAGCTTCTTAGAACTCCAGGTTAGTAAATCGGACCCTGTTTAAGCAAAACAACCAAGAGGGGGGGCTTGCAGATAACAAATGATCCTAAAACATAATGACTTCCAAGTCAAGAAATGGCCATAGTATATACAAATACAAAATATGGCCCAGATAGCTATCAGCAGAAGAAATTTGTATTATTCTCGTGTATTGATCGCAGTGAGTGTCCTCAAACCCTTAAAAGATTATTAGAAGTACTAGTTTTGTGTAGGCACTTTAATCCGTTGTGCCGATAAGTATTCAACTCTATGTTTTACAATCAAAATAACAATGTTATGAGATAATAATGTACTCTATGTAACAGCAGTAACTACTCTAACGTACCATGACTGATCCATGACATCTAATGACTCCCTGAGTAATTTTTTGATTTTAATGACACTTGTTAAAAGTCAAATTGAGTCGCAGCTATC